ATTGGGTAGCATGGGGGAATATATTGGGTTGTGTGGGAATATATTGGGTATCCAATATTGGTATCCTATCCTATTGAATCCTAACTCAGCTCCCCCATAGGATAAGAAATCATGTATTGGATAGGATAAAATGAGACAATAAGATAAGCTAAATATCCTATTGACCCACCAAACAAGAGATAAAAGTAGAATATGATAAGTTATCCTATCCTATCTTCTTTATCATGTGCTTCAAACAGGGCCTAAGTGAGATTGGTGAAAACCTTTGAATAGAAGTTTACGGGGGCGTTTGGTTAATGAGAAATTTTTTGAATACTAGGGAAATGTAATTGATAGGGAAATTGTTGAAAAGTGAGTTTGGTAGGAAAATGAAAAAAAAATTGTTTGGTTGGAAAAAATTTCACCGAGCAAATTAGGTAAGATCTACAAAGTGTATGTTTGGTTTGAGATAAAATATAGATGGGGAAATAAGTGACAATTACGAAAATATCCTTGTTTTTTCAATTTTTGGGAAAATAAAAAAAATTGTAAATTAGATAACCCTCAATTAGAAAGTGTATGTTAAGTGTTTGTAAATTATAAGATGTTAGCCTCGTTTGTTGATGGGTTTTTCTCCTTCAGGGCCCTTCTGCCACCCCTCGACCTCTTTGTAGGTACTTCAGCAACTGTGTCAGCCATCGTTGGCACAAAAGAGAGAGAGAGAGAGAGAGAGAGAGAGAGAGATTTATGAGTTCTTTGGAGGGTTTGAATTTTGGTGAGGGTTCCCCTGTTTCTGCTTCCAAAGCACCGTAGTATCCTTGCTTCTGCTTCCAAGTCCGACCATGCTTCCGTTCTCAACTACCTCGTAGTATCCTTGCTTCGCTGCTGACCGCACAATCAAGATAATATCGGAGGGTATTGTGGTCTCATATGTTGTGGGCCCTACGTGGTTTAGCCAGGTTTCTTTAAAAAGCCACCTTCTACAATGGATTCTAAACAGTGCAGAAGCACAGGAAAACAACACAAAAATGAGAATGGTAGGCATCGACCTTGCCTGGGTGTTCACCCAATTCACTGTCAACCAAACACATGCTTTGAGGAATGCCAACTTCATTTGCACGGAGTTATTTCAAAATTCACCCAACCAAACACCACCTAAGTGTAATACTTCTAAAATCTTATATCCAGGAAAGCACTTTTTTAATAGTAATGCTACCCATTGTCAATAAATTTCACAAAGTTGATCAAAATTTAAAAATGATTGTTTGAGTTAAAATAGTGAGTTTCCATTTTCCAAACCAAAAAGTGACGATTAATTGTTTATTTATAAATTAATAATAATGTTAATAATTATTACAAAATAATTATGATTGTTCAATAACTTGCTAGTATTTATTCTTTTGAGTGTTGCAAAATCACCTATTGAAATTAGAAGAAGAAAAAAAACTCATCTGATTATAATGTCACGTGAATCTCACTCATCTCTACTCTTAGTAAATGACTACATACTAAGGAGTACCACGAAAATTTTCTCCAGTTTTCTCATTACGGACACATGAAACATATATCTGCTACGAAAACAATAAAATCATGAAACAAATTATCAAGTACGAGTAATCTTCAGTACACACAAATTTGTCGGATCATACTCAACTGAACTTAACTGGTGAATTAATTGATGAATCCGAGTAAAAATCTAAAAAATAATAATTAATGGCTGCTACCATATGTTTCACTAAAGTCAGATGTTCTAACTTGTTGCATAAAAACAAGTAGACCAGCATTCCCAAAAAAAAAAAAAAAAAAAAAAGTAGGTCAGCACCTTTGCTTATAACATTGGGCTGCCGAACTTGTTATTTTGGTTATTTACGCGGTTTTTCGCAGATTCAGTGATTAACTCGTGAGAAAAGTGTGTGTCATTTTAAAGGATATAAAATTGTGTTATTTTAAGAGAGAAAAAAAGATAGATAAAAAAAGAGAGAGTTGACAAAAAAATGAAGGTGTGAGTCTCACTTCTTTATGAGAGTGAAAAGATATAAGTTGTGTCATTTATAAGGATAAACATTTTTGGATTTTATGTTTATCATTTAACATAATATAACTTCACTTTCCTACACACATTAAAGAGGTGGAGTCCACATGTTTTTCTTTCTCTTTCATCATTCCACTTTCTCTCTTCCTTTTGATGTGAGAGTTGGAAACAACACTTACATTATGTTACATAACACTAATAAAACCCAACATTTTTTCCTTTAACTTGTTGCCTTTATTTTTTATTTTCGCTTGAATTGCGTTTGTGCGTGATAACTGATGAGTGTGAAGTTTTGGCGTTTTATGCAACTTGATTTGTGTCCGTATCTTGTTTTTATTTTAAAAGGACAAGGGATTTCAACCAGAATAATCACATATTCTCTGCATACTATTCACACTCTGGATTGGATTGATTTTAGAAGCAAAAATTATCCGATCCAATCTCTTCGATTTGATCATATAATCAGTCATTCAATTTGAATTTTTTTTAAATTCGATCCGATTCAATCCAATTTTTTCCGGTTTAGATTGGATCGGTTTTTGATTTTTTGAAAATCCTAAAATTTGTTTCATGATTATTGTGCAAATAACATCTTTTGTATATATTGACTTTGTAAAAAAAAAATCGAAATACAAAAACATTAGTAAACGACAATATAGTTTTTTTTTTGCAATGAGATATGAAGCTGTACACAGATGAAATTTTGTTGATGAAATGTGACTGGATTTTTTTCTTGGATTTAGTTGATGGGTTAATAGATCTTGGGTTTAGAAATTTTTGTGCTATGATTGGGGAAATGCCCAAGTAGGTAGAGAAAAATTAATATATTGAATTAATTTCATTAACCAATCCGAAAATCGATCCAATCCAATTAAAATTTGCGGTTTTTTTTTTTGTTTTTTATTTATTCGATTATCGATTTTTCGGTTTAGTCACCGCAGTTTGAATCAGTTGATGAGCACCTATAATGAAGAATAACAAAGGTACAAATTCGAACGAAACCTCATTCTTAAAAAGATTATTTAGAAAAACTAACTTGTACAGTTATTTTAATATGGATTTTATATGAAAATTACAATTTGCGAAATAAGTTTTTTCGGTACAATTTTTTTTTTAAAATAAAAAGACTGATTGATTTGCTAAAAAATAAGAAACAACACAGCATAACAAAAGTTATATTTTGCCTAATTGTTCAAATAATATAAGTATTAAACATAAAATATTAAAGGAATGAATCTATATGTTTTGATTACTCACTAAATCAGATTAGAAAATTGTGTGCACAATAAACAAAAAAAAATCTTATCTCTTCATATATATTTTTTTTGATATAATGGTGGTACTGGTTATGAAGCACCGACACTTCAAAAATCTTAACGTGTCGTGTCTGACACTTTCTGACACTCCGACACTCCGCGTTATAGAAATTCAAAAATGTTCAAAGGTTGCGTTGAGTTTTTAGTTTCAACTATTAGATTCGTTGGATTACGATTACCGTTTAATATAAATATTTGGGATATCTTATGTTTTTTTGCAAAATTGATGAATATTTTAAGTTTAGTTTCATTTTTTTGTTAAATTATTGAATATGAAATATAATATACAGTACATAAATTAAAAAAATTATTTAATATCAAAACGTGTCCTAACGTGTCGAAATTTAATATTTTTTAGAATTAACGTGTCAGAGTGTCGTGTCATATCGTGTCACGTGTCCCGTGTCGGTATCGGTACTACATAGCGTAGTGTTATAGAAATTTGAACTTATAACATACCTGAGACTATCGCCGTTAGCCCTGTCGTAATGGTCTCTCCATCCTTTCAAGTTTTCAACTCATTGTGCGTAAACACAAAAAATAATATAATAAATTTTGCATACAAAAGTTATGATTCGATCGTATCTGGATATGCATAAAATGCAATCTAAAGTAGTAGATAATTTACTATACATTTCAAAAGGTGATAATTGATTAAACTACTTCACAACCGGCAAATTTTCAATTTTAAAACTGCACGATAAACATTAAAAAAGAAAACGAAAAAGGTTCATTAATTTTCTTAATTGGTTGAAATTGCCAATCTTCAAAACTGAACCACAAAAGTTCCATCTCAACAAATAATCACAATTAAAGCTCATTTTTTTTTTTTTTTTTGATAACAAAAGCTCATATTTTTTGTAATTTCAATAATAAGCTGGAGCACTATGGTTTTCGGATGCTGCTGTCGGTGTTGAACGCAGAAAGGACTATGGCTTTCTTCTTATACTTTGTAATTATAATAAATGGGTTTGATTTTTTCGTGGGACAATTTGTCTCATGCAATACACAAAAAATGTGTAAGATCCATCAAGAAAGAGAGAAAAACAAGAAAAAAATAGATTTCATCCACTTTTATGTGTTGCATGAGATAAATTATCTCGGATCTGGATACTCTCATGTGAAAATTCACATGACCATATCATGCGGGGAATCATAAGTTCGTAACCATACAAAGTGGACCAATAGTAATAAAGGAGGAGAGAGAAAAAATATTAAAATAGATAATTAAAAAATCATAACTGTTGATCTACTTTTGTATGGTTGTGATATTCCCATATGACCGTTTTATGTTTTTTTTTTCCCTATGACAGGATCCATTTCCAATTATCTCTTGCAACATGATAAACACATTTCTCCTGATAAATTAAATGAACAGAAAAATATTTCTACAGTTGATGCAGATAAATTATTTACATTTACTCTCAAAATAATATTATTTTAAATTAAAATATTATAATTTTAAAGACTATAATAATCTTAAAATAAATTTAAAATACAAAAATATCGTAGATTTTGTCTTAAAATAACATCATATTAAATTTAATCCAGTTAACTTATTCACACTAACCGCATAAAAATCGAATAATAAGCTGGAGCACTATGGTTTTCGTGTTATATAATAAGACGTAGACAACAGACAATAGACTATAGACCATTTTGTTTCTCTGTCTTTTATTGTTTGAGCATTACTTCAAAATTTCGTCGCTCAGCCAGGGGAACTTTAATTGTTCATTGCTCTTTCTTTCTTTTCGAATTTTCGAGAATATCCTAATTCTCTTCTCACTTCAACTCTTTGCGATCTCTTTTTTTCTTTTCTTTCTTTGTTCCTTTTCATCACTCCCCACAAAACAGCGAGCGTAATTCGGTTTTGGAGGATCAGGTTCTAGAATTTTCCTCTTCTTCAGGAGCTGAACAGAATTCAATTAGGAATTGTTGCTTTTAAAGAATTTTGTTGGGATTTCACGAGTCAATTCATGTTTCTAGGTCATCTCTGAATCCGGAATTTGTGACGAGGAGCTGCAAATGAGTGTTGAGAAGCCATGAAGAAGGTAAGGAGAAAGATCGGAAAGTATGAGGTGGGTCGAACTATTGGGGAAGGTACGTTTGCCAAGGTTAAATTCGCAAAAAACACCGAGACAGGGGAGAGCGTGGCTATTAAAGTGATGGCTAAGGCCACCATTCTCAGGCACAAAATGGTTGAACAGGTCCAACCTTTTTCCTCCTTTTTTTTTTTTTTTTTTTCCTTTTGTAGCTCTAAAATAAACTTATGTTTCAATTTCAAGTGTATTGTTAATAATCTTTTTGTTTTATGTTTTAACTCATGCTTGGTTGTTGCGCAAACAAATTCATAGCTTACATTACTATCAGCTGGCTGAAATGACATGCATGAGGTCAAGCTTTTCTTTCATATTCTTCATAGGGAGCATGAACTAGGATCATGTTTGGTTGGATGGGATGGAATGTCCATTCCTATGTTTTGGGCCTGATAAAACATGGCCTGGTCCCAATGGATTTTGGGGATGAACAAGTGAACCAGAAGGGCTGAGCCACTTTTTACACCTACATCTTGGTGAAATGTAATAGGGATTCCATCTCCGTTGGGATGAAATACTTATTCCTTCAATTGCTGGAATGCTCATCCCATTGAAAATGCTTATTCCCATTCCAATCACCTAATCAAATATGCTTTAATAGTTTGTTAAACAATCTTTATAAAGCAAAACAATGATGCTAAATGATGTGATTATAGTTCAGATAGAAAAACTGCTGATCTTGAGCTGGAGCACATGAATATGCTATGGAGGTCCAAAATGTAATTTGAGACCGGATTCTGTTTCACTGGTCCTAGTGATCTATGCTATAAGCTATCTTAAGTACACTTTAGAATATAAATGCTTGAATGAAGTTATAAATCAACACATACATGGCTTACAGCAAAATTTGAGGTTTAGGTGGACATGCATTGCAATGCTAGTGAGTAAATGTTCTACAATAATTATGTATCTTTTCCCCCAGTCAAATCAGAAAAGCATTCTCATGATTACGTTGCCTTCTAGTGGATCTTATGTTGCATCTGCAGTCAAAGGCTTACTTCTATCTCTGTGTGTTTGACTGTGCATTTGTGGCCGAACAATGATGTAGTTTGTTTTACTGAATGCTTATTATAATCTTTCCATCTCCATGCTATTAACTTTTCTGTCTTGAATCATGTTACAGATTAAAAGAGAGATATCCATTATGAAGATTGTCCGGCATCCTAATATAGTTAGGTTGCACGAGGTATGTATAGATATCTTAATACATGAGGAGTTTCACCATATTTCATTCTCTCCATATTATATTTCTCACATTGTTTACAAATTTTAGGTTTTGGCCAGCCAGACCAAGATCTACATAATCCTCGAGTTTGTAATGGGAGGGGAATTATATGATAAAATTGTAAGAGCTTTTATGTTTATATGTTATGGAATATATTAGAGGTTAATTCTTCTACAGTTATTTTGATAATTGTCCTAGTTTGATTGATGTAGATTGTTTAGGCTATAATTTACGATTTTGATTTTAAAATTAGGATTTTTGATTTGGTGTTATTTATTATTATTTGTTATTTAGGGATTTTTATCTTATGTTGGATTATCTTATTCTAGCTCAGAATGGGATTATCCTATTAGAGTGTTTGGCTATTTTAGGTCTATAAATAGACTGTTGGTATAAACATTTGACACATTTCTTTGGAATGATAAAGTTTTTAATATTTCGTTCTTCAAATAGTACCTGAATACTAAAGTAGGGAGTACCCTGCCAAGAGGAGTACTCTTGATTACCCATCCTACATCAGTGACCTTTTAAATTAGTAAGCATTGATGAGACCCTAACTAACAAATGTTAATGATTTGATTACGTTTTTTTGTGCAGATATTAGATTTTGATTGTTGTTTATGTTTACAATTTCACCCTTTCTGGATCTGTAGGTTCAGCAGGGAAAGCTTTCTGAAAATGAATCTAGGCGCTACTTTCAACAACTTATAGATGCTGTTGCTCATTGTCACAGAAAGTGTGTGTACCATAGAGACTTGAAGGTGAAAGACAAAATATTATATATGGTGTTAATTATGTTCTTGCTGTATTTTTTGTTAACCATATTATGTTTCTATCTTGATCAGTTTGTTTTCTTTCCTTTTATAGCCTGAAAACCTTCTTCTTGATGCTTACGGAAATTTGAAGGTTTCTGACTTTGGATTGAGTGCATTGACTAAGCAGGTAAGAATGTATCTACTTATAAAAAGGAGATGACAGTACATAATTTCTTTTTCTTGCTTTTTAAATAAAAAGAATATTTGGGTTTTATCCCACTGGCATCTAATTGTTGCTATGTCTTTGGGTAATGATTTTTGGGGATAGCAGAGGATGCAGAACTAATGTCTTCCTTCTTGTTCTCTCTGTCTCTCTCTCTCTTATAGGGTGTTGGCCTTCTTTACACCACATGTGGGACCCCAAATTATGTTGCCCCTGAGGTAAAATTGATTATACAACTCTGATGCCATTCTTTTTTATTGTCTTGATCTTTTGTTCCTTTTCCTAAGGGTAGTTGGCTAGTTGGCTCGATTAATGGTTTGATATAGTTATCCTTATCAAATTTGGTTATGGACAAATGATTGATGATCAAATAGATCAATACTATTGAATATCCCGTGTTTTGCACGATTTCTTTTATAAATCAGCTCCAACTAAAACAGTATAAATTAAAAGAGAATGGTATTTAAAACTTAAAAGGATGATATACGTTATTAATTAAAATATCAAAAATGATCTCTTGCAGGTGCTCAACAATCGAGGTTATGATGGTGCAGCAGCTGATGTTTGGTCATGTGGAGTCATCCTATATGTCCTAATGGCTGGATATCTTCCTTTTGAGGAGACAGACCTTCCAACACTGTACAAAAGGGTATTGTGCTTTTCCTTATAATGTTGAAGTAGAGACTTGAAAGAGCTAGAAAGAAAAGGGAAAATGTAAATAGTGAATGTAATAGAAAAGAAGACCAGTGAACAAACCTAATATTGTATTTAATCCATCAATGCTTAGTACCACTAACCATTTTTTACTACTATGAGTTTTATTTACATTTGTTACAAGTGAGTTTTGCGAATTACTATGTCCATATCAGTAAATATATGAAAAGAAACGAAAAGATGGTATTAAATATTGAAAAACTTGTAACAAAAGTGACCAAATAACAAAATATTTTTTTAAGAATGGACTAGTAATTCGCAAAACTACACAAACTGTACTCTCTTCTCGTCTTTGAATATCTAGAGGATATATATGAATCAGAAGCATTTAGTGACACATACTTTAATGTTAGGTGGCAGGGTGGTGGGGATTTAGATGGGGGTAAGCTTTCTGGTTTTTCAATAGTATAAAATCAAGCAACTGATTTAGATTGTGGGACATAAATCAAATTTGTAATGTACCCTTTATATCTAGAAATGTTCTTATTCTGGTTTGCAAATTTCTAGTTGATTTTTGAAAAATTATTTTGTTATTTGGTCACTTTTGTTACAAGTTTTTTGTTGAGATATATAAAATCATTAATGTAGCCTCACCCAACAGCTTAAGCTTTTGGGTTGAATTGGTTCTTTATATGGTATGAGCCTCGTGTCCCGGGTTCGATCCTCACCGCCCCCCACTTTCTCTTGTGGAATTTTCTTAGCACAGATAGGTGGACCTGTGTATTATCCACCCTTCAAGTCCAGTGGGCTCTCGTGTGAGGGGGCGTGTTGAGATATATAAAATCATTAATGTAGCCTCACCCAACAACTTAAGCTTTTGGGTTGAATAGGTTCTTTACATTTTTCAATATACATTGCCTTCTTTTCCTTCCTTTTCATATATTTGCATAGTTTTGGATTACACAATATGATTCATCTTTTTTTATAGGGTTTTGATTTTAATTAGGGGTATTATTGATATTTCATTTATAATTTAATGGTCTGTTTATTAAAGGGTGTTTTTGACATTTTATATAATAAAGGCATTTTTGGCATTTAGGGAATTAAGTGATACACATTCTACACAGGGTGAATGTGAAGTTTTTCCTTAAAATATTAATAACAATGTCCTAAATTAATAACTTCATTAACTAATATATAAATATGAATTGCAATGTCAACACAAAGTTCCTTTGTGACAATAAAATTCTCAAAATTGAAGAAAATAAATTCAGTGACCTGAATCTTTCTTTGTTGTATCATCCTTACTCCAGTTGTTGTTTACATGTTGTATTATATAATACGAAAGGGTAAGAAGAAGCATTGTTCTTATGTTCATGCTTATTATTGAATAGAGCTTTATTTAGTGAAAACTCTATTGATCCTCGTCATTCCTAGATAGCACGAGGAAACTTTTCTGATGGGGCTGAATGTTTATTTTAGGAGCATTTAGCGCTGTGGATTAATAACCAGCTGATAGCTTTTGTTGTTGTTGCTGTTGATTTTTCTTTTTATTTAAATTTGTAGATCATTGCCGCAGAATTTGTTTGCCCATTCTGGTTTTCTGCTGGGGCAAAGACATTGATACATAAAATTCTGGATCCGAATCCTAAAACTGTGAGTACAATGACTCATTTGTTTTAGACTTAAATTTATTATAGACTCCAGTAAAAACATACATGCATTATGATGTTTATGAAGTGCATTTCTCGCTGATTACCTAGACAAATTTTTATTAGTATACTTAAGTCTGTGTGTTCCTTCTACTTAATGTAAGTCTATGTATTGTGCTGTGAACAGGTATAATCAAATGCCATTTCTTTGTCTTTAATTTAATTTTTCTCATTTTCCTGTTTAGGGAACATCAAAATTGCAAATAGTCAAAATTAAAATAAGCCTCAAATTTCTTCTCATTAAAGGATGTCAGTTATGATCCATTTCAGAGTCTTCTGGTGTTTATGTATCTATAAGGACACATGATTTTTGGTGATAGCCTGATAGTAAAATAATTGCATTTTCTTATACATAGATCTTTATATAAGATATGCCGCTGCCCATGTATATTATCTCCTTTCCAAATAAGTATAGTTGATTTGCACTTATTTGTAAAATTTTATGCCTGATTGTTGGTAAACACTTACAAATTCAATATATTATTCTTAATTAATTCTGATATACTTGCAGCGAGTGAAAATAGAAGAAATAAGGAAAGATCCATGGTTCCAGAGAAACTATGTTCCTGTCAAACACAGGGAAGATGAGCAAGTGAATTTGGCTGATGTTCAGGCTGTTTTTGATGATATTGAGGTCTGCTGTTGTTTTTTTAATTGTTGTTTAACTTATACAAACAATAACCATTTTTGCAATTGTATCTGTTGGTCCTTACATATCCATTGATGAATGTGTGTGCTGCAAATACAGTGTGTGTGTGTACAAATATGTGATATGTGAATTAACGTGTTAAGGATGTGTAAGTGTGTGCAGCAAAATTACATGATTATGTTTGCAACAGGATAGGCCCAATGAAGGAATGGGCCAGCCCCAATTAGTTAACATAGTTAGAATTAGTTAATGATAGTATTTAAATCTCTAACTGAATGGTCAGAGGCAGGCTTTAAGGGGCGGGAGAGGATAGCACAGGGATTTTGTTTTCGGGTAATAGTCAGTTTTTGAAGGGAGAGGCTAGGCTTTCAAATTCGTGAGTGAGGAGTGCTTTCTATACCATTCTCTCTTCTTGAACCTGGATACTCCATTGATCTAGAGTAGGAGAAGATACTTCTAATAAAATTCTGTCTTTTCTTCCTATTCTTTCCCAATCTCTTGTTGAGTTCTATTAATTGGTATCAAAATTCCCTAATCTAAGGAGTTATTCATGGTACATAAGCGAATGGAGGCGAGATTAGAGTTCTTGGAGAAAGTCTTAGAATCTTGGTGGTGGAGGAGGATTGGCAACAAACAAGGAGAGATAAGGGGCTTCAAGAAGCACAGATATAGAAACTCGAGGACTTGCTCGAAGGGTTGACTCGAACTAACCCAAAGGAGAACAACCTGACAAATTTAGCCAGAGGAAGCAATGCCATTGGAGCTGGGCACGAGGGACATGGAGAAGGATCTGGTTGATTAATGAAGAGATTGGGATCAATGATGGTTACAAGCCCTATCATGGAAGGTCGAGCTTTATCATGGTTTCAGTGGTGGGAACTTTATGCACAAAACCCTTCATGGGTAGAGTTCAAAGAGGCGGTGATTAGTAGGTTTTTGGCAATGCTAATGCAAAACCTTTATGAATTATTGCTGGGATTGAATCAGATGACTGCTATAGAGGAATATGGGGAATACTTCAAGCTATATGTCACTCCCTTGTGGGGTACAGATCCTGGGTATCTCATAGGCATATTCTTGAGTGGATTGAAGGAGGAGATCAGAACAGAATTGAAGTTTCATCTGATCAGGGCCTTGCCAAAGATGATGGACTATGCCCAAAGAATTGATTAGAAGAATAGGGCGCTCAATAGAAGGGGGAGGGTCCGTGAGTAGCAGAGAAGGAACCATATTCAAATGGTATCCTTCATCCAGAACCGCCACCTATGAATTGGGGACTGGAACCTCTATACATACCAACCCACACAGCGGGCATTCAGTAGGAGACTTTGCAATCAACAGACCTAGTGGGAATTTCAGAAGCAAAGGAGGAGGGTTCTGGAGACTTTTGGATGCAGAGTTGCAGGACAAAACAAGAAAGGGTTGTGTTTTAAATGTGATGAGAAGCATGGGCCCGGCCATGTTTGTAAGAACAAACAGTATCGAGTTCTGCTGTTAGATGACGGTCTGGAGGAAGAAGATGAAGGAGTATCATCGGATCAAGAGGAATTAGCCTATAAGTTTCTACAACAATCCTTGTATAGCATTATGTGATTAACTTCTAAGAAATAGCTTCAAATGTGGGGGGAGGTGGCAAGAAGAGTGATAATTTTGATTGATTGTGGGGCATCCCATAACATCATTTCCTCTGCCTTCGTAAAAGAGCTAGACTTGCCAATCACAGCTACTTCCATATATCAAGTGGAGGTAGGATATGAGCATAAAATATAATGTAGAGTTTACTCTCAGATGATATTGATGTTGCAAGGCTGGAAGTTACAGCAGAATCTCTTCATATTTGAATTAGGGGGAGATTAGATTGGTTGGCTAGTTTAGGATAGATAAGGGCCAATTTTAAAAAGTTGACCATGAAGATACTAGTGGGGAAATAGACACTGATAAAGGTGATCCATCTTTATCTAGTTCAGAAGCTTCCCTTAAATCAGTAATGGAAGCACAACAAAATGAAGGGCAAGGATTTTATTTGGAGTACAATGGGTTATCTGGAAATGTAACGGAATTAGAGGCAGCACCAGCTGGTGTCCAGGAAGTTTTGGAAGATTTTTGTGATGTCTTCAGTGAGCCACAAGGCTTACCACTTCCTAGATGGCATGATCATGCAATGGTGCTGAAGGAAGGGGCAGAAATTCCTAATTTGAGGCCTTACAGATATCCTCGTTGCCAAAAATCCGAGATAGAAAAAGTGTAGATGAAATTCTGGTAGCAGGGACCAATGTTGTTAAAATCGAGATTTTAAGTAAAATCGGAAGGAGACTAAAAAATCGTAAAACATAATAAAAAAATTGTAAAAACATACAAGCGTTTGGAATATTGGTAAAATCGTTTTGATGAAAAAAAATCATAAAAACGTAAAATCGTAGTGATAAATCGAAATTTTAACAACTATGGCAGGGACTGTTAGACCTAGAGTAAGTCTGTATTCAAGTTTCATGTTTTGGTGAAGAAGAAAGATGGAAGATGGAGGTTTGTGTGGATTATAGGGTTTTGAATAAGATCATAGTCCCAGATTAATTTCCAATTCCTATATTGATGAGCTACTGGATAAGCTAGGAAGAGCTACTGTTTTCTCTAAATTAGACTCTAAAGTTGCTATAAAGTTGCTTTTGATTATGGAAAGGACATCTATTCTGTTACGAAGTGGAACACCCCTCGTCCTCACTCACATATTTTTCAATATCATTACCGTTTTTCCAAATTAATGGGGGTCAGCAGTCAATTAGCCCATATAAGAGCAAGAATAGATTAAGGAAAATCACTCACGTTTTTATTCAGGTAAAATATGTAAAATTTTAAAAACCCTACTTCACTTCATAAAGAATTAGGACTGTTATCAAAAGTCAAAAATCTTTTTTTTGGTACCAATTATACAGTTATTTAAGAGATCGAAGGAAAAGCTACTACCACCAGGATATTTTTTTTTTCGAAATCCTTGTAAATAAAAAGTTTGGATGCAAAATTTCAAAATCATTTAAGCGTGGCAGTTGGCATGCAGGAGTGCATGTGAAGAGGTTAGTTATGTATTAATGATGACACCTTTTAGGTTTACGAGCTTTGTTACTTACCTGGTTTTGGTCCCTTGATTCTTGTTTTGGGCAATTAAAATGCTGTAATTATCAAACACAAGCATGCATCTCATTTACTGTTCTGAGATAGACTGGCAACTTTTGCTGTTTTACAGGACCATTTTGTTGCTGAACGATCAGAGATTACTGAGGGAGGTCCTTTGATAATGAATGCATTTGAGATGATTACATTATCACAAGGGTTGAATCTTTCACCGCTATTTGACAGGCATGAGGTATTGTATCCATTCCATCCTCTTGCCCTACAATTTCATGGTTCCTTTTTGTGTCTCTGGTTGCCATGTAACTACTTGTAATTCAACCTGTCTGGGTGGGCATTAATAGACGTCTGATTTAAGGGTAGGTTTGAGTCTTAAAGGTGTAACATGAACATAATAACTTATAATATTTAGCTTTCTTGCAAGTTGGGTTCAGATTCTGTGTTTTTCAAGGTTGTCTGTTCCATTGGCCCAAATGATATTTTGATGTTCTAACAGGATTATGTAAAGCGGCAAACTCGTTTTGTTTCCCGTAAACCAGCAAAAGTTATACTTTCATCTATTGAAGCTGTTGCAGAGTCAATAGGTCTTAAGGTCCATTCTCGCAATTACAAGGTATCACTCTGCATGTCTACTTAACATCATATTGATGTTTCAGGAACTTTTCACATAATTCAAAGCAGACTAATACTGTGATTTAATCCTATTGTCATCAGATGTCAATGCAATCTTTGTTGTTTGTTATTGCTGCTGTTGCATTTTAGCAATAGTTAAATTACTATGTTAGAGAAATATAGAACCATTACTGTAGCATAACTCAACAGCTTAAGCTTTTGGGTTGAACTGGTTCTTTACATGGTATCAAAGCCTCCTAGACCAAATGGTCACGAGTTCGATCTTCATCACTCCCCGTTCAATTAATAAATAATTAAGTATTGTGGAGTTTCTTAGCACAGGTAGATGAGCCTGTGCATTATCCACCCTTCAAGCTCAGTAGACTCTTCTGTGAGAGGGCGTGTTAGAGAAATATAAAATCATTGCTGTAGTCTCGTCCAACAACTTAAGTTTTTGGGTTAAATTGGTATTTTATACTCTGCATTATCTGTTATGCCACATTAGCCAACGTACACTTGAAATTAGAATTAGTATTCCAATAACATTTTGGTCTTCAAGGAGGCAGTCCCTGAGTAGGGATTGGTAATTCAAAAGTGAGGATTGTTGTATGGTCTAATCTTAGAATAGGTAGAGATTTTTATCCTTGATTCTGAAAGGAAATGTACAGTAATATCCGGCTTTCTTTATTTTATTTTTTTAAAAATATTTTTACCGTAGATGAGGCTTGAAGGAGTTTCTGCAAATAAGGTTGGACAATTTGCGGTGGTCTTGGAGGTAACTTGTTTTTTTTATATTTAGTTTTTTTAATACGAAAAGTTGATTTCAATATGAGCCATAATTAAAATCATCTTTGTATTCTGTCAAAAAGGTGTATGAAGTTGCCCCATTCCTTTTCATGGTAGATGTTCGAAAGGCGGCTGGGGATACTCTCGACTATCACAAGGTTAGCTTCATATCTACATTATATATTTGCATTGTGATGGCTAAAAATGCTTTCAAGCTATGCCTTGGGAAACACTAAAATGAAATAGCAGATACTAAAAGGGAGAAAAACCGTGTACAATTGCACATACATGCAGGGTGAAATGTTTTTGCTTTTTAATATTACTATTCTAAGAGAATAGTGCATGCCTGGAGCAGTGATACAGCTGCCTCTTGGTGACCGAGAGGTTACGGTTTCAAATCCACCTCTCTTTGTAAAAATGTAAAGATAGGACTGAGTACAAGGATTTTCCTCATCCCTACGCTCGTAATTCGGGATTTCATGGGGAGTGTTTTTTAACTTATCAAAGACTTCGTTGAAAGAGGAAAATAATTCATTTAAGATTTGTCATCTGCTCCGTACACCACAATTTTCACGGTTCCTTATGGTTACATTATTTTTGTTTTATTTTCCCTTGGAAATCAGCTTCATCCCATGTTTTATTTTTAATTCTTAAGTTAATCCAATAGCTGTTAGCCAGTGATTTACTTTGGCCAGTCATCAACCAGAAAAAAAAATGCCCTTTGGTAGAGCAACATGGTGGTATTTTAGGCATACTGCAGATGGAGAGAAATCTGGTCGTGGGTTAATCATAACTAGGGTAGATTGAGTGTCGTGAGTCCAATGTTGGGTTTTGTGGTTGGTGTGCAACAGGCTTGGAATTGAGTATGAGCAAGATTGATATATTCTAGTAATTCTTAATTTTCTGGCTTTGTAAAATTTTATTGCTATCTGATATTCTGTCTCATCCTTTCCTTTTCCTCATTATTTATGATTTACTTGATTTTGTTACTCTGAGATTAGAGGAACTATGGGGAATATTATGTGATCATGAATTTTACTTTGCATTGCGTTATGTAATGCTACATTTGATATTATTCTCCATTTGATAGTTACATGTCCATCAAAACTATGTTAGAACTTAGAACCCATTTGCAAGGTAGGGGACTTCGAGTCCTACATTGGTTGTATGGGCAATAATGTGAGGTTTATAAGGTCTTGGGCACTCCCACCCTTTGAACTAGCTTTTGGAGTGGTGCATTCCATGGTTCTTATCAAATGGTATCAGAGCACCCACTATGTTTCGCAGATTGAAACTTGCTACTAGAACCCGGGGTTGGACCCTTGAACTTGGAACCCTGGGCTTGGGCTGCGAAATGTGATGGAATATTAAGATCCATTTGCAAGGTATGAGACTTGGAGTCCCACATTGGTTGTATGGGCAACTAATGTGAGGTTTATAAGGCTTTGAACACTCCCACTTTTTGAGCTAGCTTTTGGGGTGATGCATCTAAAGGTTCTTATCAAACTATTCCGACAAAAACCACCACAGCCTATTTCCTCAAAGCCACTGATTTTTGTTTACAAACCAAGGCCTGTAGCTATATCTACCCTGGTACATTCATACCTTCACATGCCACGACAAATCTTGCAAGAAATGAAACATGTATGCTTAGAAGTTGGAAAATCGTTCAATATGGATTAAGGTGATGATAAGTTGGAAATCATTTCAAATCTTAATAGAAATCTAAGGAGAGAGAGAAAAAAAAAGTACTTAACAGCTGTAAGAATGGCAAGTCTGGCTTTGGAACTTCAATGTGGACTCTCCCGCAATTCCTAATGGGAGTGATGGTGGTGGATTTGGCTTATAACTCCTTTGCACTACTTCACATTCCCTGCATCCTCCTTAAAAGGGAAATCATTTTCTTATGTTGTAGGAAAAAAATTATCTTATGTAGTAGAAACAAAATTACAAGTAGGAGCCATAAGAAAGGAGAGAGAAAAAATAGAGGTGGGATTTACCTCTATTTTGTGTGTGCTGGAAATTTGTTTCTCTTATGTAAAATGAGAGAAATAGAACCCTCCTTAAAATTATAAAAAGAAAAAAACAGCTTAACATTCCAATGCATGTGTCCTCTAAACCCAATCGCTGCTTTGACTCCCAAACATGATTTTGTCATGGGTATGGAACGACTCAGCCGGTATAGCTATATTTATTTGGTTGCATGCACAATTATGTACAAATAAGACTGTCCTATCCAAAGTTTAATCCTATTCCCAGGTGTGTACTTTCCAATCATCTGCTTCCCTAATGTTTGCACTTATAAACATTTGTAAATGCAGCGTCACATGCATATGTATTTATATGCGTATGAACTGATATTAACATAATTTTGTACTTCTGCAGTTTTACAAGAATCTTTGTTCCAAACTAGAAAACATTATTTGGAGACCGGCAGAGACTATACCAAATTCTAGTCTGCTTCGACAAATGACTTTCTAATCGTGTTCTTGCGGGTGTGATGCAAATAGAAATAGTAGAGCACTGAATGCTGCAGCTGCTCCCCGAGTCTACCAAGAACTGGCATGGTTTCCAGCCATCATAATTCTACGTCCACTGCTTGAGACGTGTTTGGAATGGCTGTCGCTGCCAAACTAGAACATGGCTTTATATCTTAGGGGAACGAAGGAAAAACTATTGCACTGCATCCTGTAACAAACCTACCCCGTAATGGTTTACAACATCAATCCATTATTTGGTTCGGACGGAAATGGTATAAAGTATAAATAAAAACAATGAAATTTGTTTTTCCCTCCTGAGGTCTGTTTGCAAGGTGAATAAGAAGATTATGAAGTTGAATTGTTGAACAATTTTAAATTACCGAATAAATAATGTAGGGAAAAGTTCACCAATGTCCCTGTGGTTTGTTTCAGAATCATTAAGAAGGTCTCTTTCTGGGGGGGCCCGAGCCATCAGTGAGATACCACTCTGGAAGAGCTAGAATTCTAACCTTGTGCCAGGACCTACGGGCCAAGGGACAGTCTCAGGTAGACAGTTTCTATGGGGCGTAGGCCTCCCAAAAAGTAACGGAGGCGTGCAAAGGTTTCCTCGGGCCGGACGGAGATTGGCCCTCGAGTCATTTATGCCCCTGTGATTTTTTTTATCACATATGTCCCTGTGCTTTGTAAAAAATAAGAAACCACAGGGGTATATGTGATAAAAAACATATCATTTCACAAATCACAGGGGCATATGTGATAAGAAAAAAACTACAGGGCATAAGTGATTCTGAAGTAAATCACGGGAGCATTTGTGAATTTTTTTCAATAATATACGGTGATAGATGGAAAAAAGATTCTCAAATTCAGTTCTAAGACAAGTTCAATCTAAAAGAGTACTATCTATGGTAGCTACTCGCCTACTCCCCGAAGTTTTCAGAACATACCTTAAGTCGGGCCATTTTTGCTGAAAAAAATTTGTTGGGTCATTAGCCAGTGTAGGCAGAAATTTGAACTGCCCTTACTTTGTGGCTGGGAATAACTCGGGGAAAATCAGCAAAAATTATTGGAGCATTTACACAGACAAATAATAAAATGGATAGTTGAACCATTGGAGTCCGAATATGCACAGTAATTTCCTTGGTACATATTCGCGGCGTCGCTTTCGTTGTATGTTATACGGTCTACATGAATTAATTGCGTAGACATAGCAGTTGGGATTTTGACAATTGAGCACATCCACGCACGTGATTGTTGATTCAAACTGGGTTTAATCCGGAAATATAATCAAATAATTTTCACAAATATAGTATAGCTACCTGTAAAAAGCATTACGTGGCCTTTTATAAAAGAAAATCATAAAAATGTAATGAATAAAAGTATATAAATAATAAACAAAATAATAATATGTTTAGAAATATTTAATCATTATAGAATGTTTGTTTATCTTAGAATCATATATCTTGATTTGGTTATATATTATTTTTAAATTCAATTGATTTTATAGAAAAAAATGAGAGGAAATACTATTATGATATTTATGGTTTAACAGTTTGATCTTAAAGTCAATAAATCTTGTGAGAGGTAAACTTGAAGAAATAAATTCATTATAAAATAATATGACATATTGTTTTGTAAGTAAATCACTAAATTATTGTGTTTTTAATTACTAATATAATAAAAAAAACCCAACAAAAAATAATTTTTAATTTCATTTATGGTTACATTGAATATGTATTTTTTTTCCTTTTAGACGAATTTTAATGATGAAAATTAGATATAATTTTTTTTATACTATTATAGCAATGTTAATTATGATTTTCAAAATTCAAAGTAATTAATAGCCTTATATTAAAAGAATTTTCCTACCCAATGGGTGCAGCTCAGTTGGTAACTTGGCGCTGAGTTAGTGGGGTTGGATATGTGTTCGATTCCCGCTGAATGCATTCTTGGGGAGGGAGCTGAACCTTTAGCCATCACTGTTCCCCCGCACTCCGGATTAGTCTCATAGCCGGCTCAAAGAGTCGAAGCTCGTGGGGATACCGGAGGGAGTCAACTCGTCTCAAAGAGATAATTAGAGTTGGGTAACTCAAAAAAAAAAAAAAAAATTTCCTTGATTTAAAAGAATTGTGTTCAGCATGTTACCAAAAATAAGATGAGATGTTTTGTCAAGATTGACTCAGCTTTGGATTGCATACACAAAAAAAAAGTCTTCAGTTCTAATCTTAGTAATAAATTATCAAATCTTATTTCTTATCGCATGCCTTGACTTTAAAAATTGAGAATAGGGAATAGGGATGTAAACGGGATAAGCTAGCCTATATGGCCTACGAACTAGTCTATATTATATCAAGATTGGACTATTATAAATAGTCAAATAGAACCAGTCTAGACTTTTAAAAAAATCTATTTAGAAAGCAGGCAAGGTTTTTTTGTACATGTCAGACTTATAAACCTATAGGCCGGCCTATATCATATTATTTATTTTAAATAATATAAATAAAATTATTATTTTAATGATTTTGAATAGTAAGATTATTATTTTAATAATTTTAAATAATAAAATAATATTATTTTAGTTATTTTTTTAATTATGAAATATTTAACCGGCTTAATAAGCTAGCAGACATTGACAAGACTTTTATTTTTTAAATATAAGTCAATTCAGATTTGTAATTTGGGTCTAGAGACTAACATGTCAAGACATAAGATTTTTTACACAAAGTTTAACCGTTGGGAGCGCTAACAGTGAAGCAAAGACCACAGGGTTAGAAAAGTAGTTGGTTCTTCGTGTTGCCTTCTTCAATGAATACACTTGGGGTTATGGTAACTAGCTATGAAAATCGTACACTTTTGCACCGTGACCCAATAAGTTTCTACTACCAATTTTTACCACACCAACCAAGTTTGATTTAAGAATTAAGAAATAAACTTCTACACAAGTTTGTTGGGGATTAATTTCCATTTGGAATAGAAACAGTTGTTGATTTTGATTCATACCACACACCAGGTACACAAAAAATTGCTCAAGCTTAAAAACTATAGTTATCTCACTATATCTGAGGCACAATCAACTTTCAGGGTTGAAAGAACTTGTTACCGCATTTGCATTTCCATGAGAGAAGATAATAGCCCTCGTCTCTTTGAGCTGTTGCCTTGTGAATATGACCAACTCTGTTATGAGGGGAGATAACTAAAGCAGCCATGCAAGGCCTGCAGCTCAAGCATTTGTTAACACACCGAGGAGGCCTTGATCCCAATACTAATTTCTTTTGCATCAGATCCTTGCTTTCTTTCATTGAAGGTAACCATGCTGTTAAATACAAGTAAAACAAGAACATGAGTTGGACCATAAAACACACCAAGGTAAACCCAAGAATCAAGAGAAGAGAACCCATCTTGTTGACATAGAAATATTATGACATTGATGGTTTGTTTTTACCTGAATTAGAAGGAAAGAACGTGAGAGATATTATGAGAATCAGAGTCACTGAAGTTTTTAGTCCATTGGGGTATATTTTTGGTGAATCCATAAATCAAAAACAAGAAAAGAATGATCAGCAAAGAAGTGTGAACATGGGGTTTTGGGAGAAAGAGATAGGAAGAAAAAATGGCTTTGTGCAATCGTAGGGATGATGAGGGGTTTGATTTTGATCATTGAGACAATGCATCTTATCAATTTTTAAGGGTTCCAAATAGAAGAGTTTGGTCTGTGAAGTTTTTTTTTTAAAGAACAATAGCTGCTCTGACTTGAGGTTTTCAGTGTGAATGACTGAAGTCACAGTTTCTTTTCATCTTTTGCTGGCTGAATTGACTACCCTATGCTAACTTTTGAAATTATTGAAGTACTAGACCATCTTTCTTTTGTCACCATACAAGGAGTGGCTATAAGTTTTTGGTCAATTGTCTTTGGATCTGCTCCTCAATAATACTACTATTAAATATTGTTAAGTTCACAGTATTTGCCTCTACATTAGAAACAAATGCATGTCAAGCAACAAATTAGATTTTAGTCAATCCAATCCATTATTTCTTTCCAAAAGGGCCACTTCATTGATATAAGCCAGTACCCCAAATTCAATGTTTCCTTTGCCCATTTTACTTATGTGTCAAATGATACATGAATAATTTTATTATATTTAACACACCGCCTCAACCAAGAATTTTTTATTATTAGACTTATAGGGTAATACCATGTTAGAAATTAATTCTCTAAAAAACTTCAAAATATAAGTTGAGATAAATAACCAACTTTGATTCTTTATGCTGTTACCGGGGGGAAAAGATCATCTACTGACACAATTATAAAACACACACCAGTGTACACTTACAAGCTACAGATATTGACTGTTGAGTCATTGATAATTGATAATCATTTGTCAAAGATCAGCTACTACTTCAAACTCAATTCCTTATATCATCACTGATTCATCAGCAACGTATAACACGCGAGAGGGGTCAATAGAGAGTAACTTTAATTTGTGTGTATGATATTTTATTTGAAGTTGGATGACAAAGTGCACAGCCATGGCAGAGAAATGCAATCAACGAGGATGGATTAGATGAAAGATTCCGCTGACTTGAAGGACTAGTAGTGGTGTCTTTTCAATGTTTTTAGTGTACCACTACACCACAAAATCTGCTGAATGCTGATAATTTGTTGAGTTATCGAGATCATTGGTAAGTTACATAAGGTTAACACTGTTTTCGGCCTTTTGCAATTTAAACATAGGGTTTTATAATTCTTACGTCGAAGAGAATTGAAATCTCATGTTGTAGAGATAAAAAATATGTGGAACTCATGTGTTAGAAAAAATTATATGTAGGACCCATGTCAGCACAGAAATCGAAGAGTGTGTAGGAAAATTATAATTCTCATGTTAAATGAGAATTATAAAACCCTTAAACATATATGTTGAGATATATAGTGTTGGTTGTATGAGCATGTGGAGTTTATAAGACCTTGAACACTCTCACCCATTGAGCTAGCTTTTGGGTGATGTATCTCAAGGTTCTTTATATGGTATCGCACAAAAAGGTAAACCAAAAATTGAGCCTGTGCAATTCCATACTTCTAGCCCAAAGGGCTCTTGCGTGAGAAGCGTGTTGAGATATATAGTCTCACATTGGTTGTATGAGCAACTAATGTGGAGTTTATAAGACCTTGGACACTCAAACTCTTTGAGCTAGCTTTTGAGGTGGTGTATCTCAAGGTTTTTTACAATATCCATTAAAGTTATATTTATATATATATATAGGGGAGAGATTTTTTAACTCTAGAGTAAGACTTACAACTCTTACTCCTCATCTCAACCGTTGATTTCTGTCCATCTAACCGTTTTAATAGCAATTAATTAATAATTAATTTCAAATAAATAATAACCATTAGATGGACGGAAATCAACAGTTGAGATGAGGAGTAAGAGTTGTTAGTCTTACTCTAGAGTCAAAAGATCCCTCCTCATATATATATGAGAAAAATATTTCTCTGACAATTTGATATAAGTTTATCTCCGGCAACTCTAAAACTATGTCGTTTTGTTTATTTATTTTCTTATATTAATTGATTCACCTTTGAAAGGTTATTATTCACTTTTTCTCTCTCTTCCTTTATTACCATTGATCCATCTTTGTATGATTATGATTAGTAGCCGGCTTGAGAAATGATAAGCCACATATGTATATGGGATTTGCATTTGTCATTTAACATGACACAACAAACTTTTCTACACACACAATATTTTGTGGGACCCATACTTTTTGAAGGAAAAAAAAGAATTTATGGCACGTAAAACGAATCTCTATAACATTACACAATCACTTTTCCTACAATATAACTCTTATAAAACCACACACATATATATATATATAAGGAAAAATTACTCTTATGTTACGAGTGATAAATTTCTCTCCTACACACCCTTCGATAACTGTGCTACTTTTTTATTTTATTTTTTTATTTTTTTCAAGTGGTGGAGCCCACAAATTTATCTATATGACATAAAATAACTTATCTCCTTTAACATTATATTAATAAAACCCATATATATATATGGTTCATTTTTTCTTAAGTCAATGTAGATAACTTATCTACATTGAGCCCAAAACAACATCGTTTAGAGACAGAAATCAAGGTATTTTTGTAATTATAATTTATTTCAGGGTTATATTAGTATTTTTATTATAATTTTTTTTTTTTGATAACATTTTATTATAATTTTTTAATCCAAAACAATGTCGTTTTAGAAGTGAATGTAGATAACTTATCTATATTCATCATAGAAACATTAAAGTCATATATATATATATATATATATATATATATGGTTATGTTCATCTCATTTTACATGAGATAAACAACTCTTCTACACACACAAAAAGGGGTTGGGTCCCACTAGAGGTGGCAAAGCGGGCTGCCCGCCCCGCCCCTGCCCGCCAAAAAGCGGGCTGGCCCGCCCATTGAAGGTGGGCTAGATATCTCTGCCCACCCCGCCCCGTTTGGGCGGGCGGGGCGGGCTGCCCGCCAAGCCCGTCACATTTTACACTAAAATTTTTTTTAAAAAAAAAAAATCAGCCCGGGCGGGCTGGCGGGCAGCGGGTTTAGAAAACTCAGCCCGCCCCGCCCCGTTTGGCGGGCGGGGCGGGCCGGCCAGGCGGGCTCGGCCCATTTTGCCAGCTCTAGGTCCCACCATTCTTTTTTCTCTCTCCTCTTACCTGTGAGTCTCGCTTATACTTTTATTTCTATAACATGAGGTAGTTTTTTTCCTACAACATAAGAAAAATATATCTCATATATATATGGGATTTGCATTTATCATTTAACATGACACAACAAACTTTCCTACATACACAACATTTTGTGGGGCCCACACTTTTTGAAGAAAAAAGAAAAAAAAGAAATTATGGCACGCAAAACGAATCTCTATAATATTACACAATCACTTTTCCTACAACATAACTCTTATAAAATCCTATATATATATATATATATATATATATAGGGTAATTGTAGTCTCATGTCACATAAAAATTTTGTTATCTCCTACACACTCAATTTAAAGTGGGGCCCAATAGAAAAAAAATAAAATAATAATTGGCACAAGTATCGATGTATGGACATAAGATAAAAAAAAATTCCTATTACATAAGAGTAATATTGCCCATATATATGTGTGTGTGTGAAGATACCCTTCTCTTTTCTTTTCTTTTTCTTTTTCTTAACTTATTTGAAAGGAGTGTATTCCTTAAATATATCCTTACAAAGAATTAACATCAATTTCTTAGATACTGTTCTAATTGATTATTAACCAAGAGATTTCTAAATAGGGTGACAATTTGCATCGATACGACATAAATTTAACACGAACACAAATATATTCAATATGAACACAATACAAATTTGAAATTGGATTAAAACTTTCGATACGAACACAATCCGTTTATTTTGTGGGTTAACACGATACAACATATGAATTACCTGCAAACTCATAATGTGTCGCTTATTATGTGAATTGACACGACTCGACTTGACACGAATAATCTGTCAATCTCAAATTATGTTATTTATTATGCTGGTCGGCACGACACGATTAAACACACAAATAATCCATATAGAACATCACACGACACGTTCAAGTCAGTTGATATCAACACAAAGATAACAAGAATTTAAAAATGGGTTGATCCAAAGATGAAATTTTTGTATCGTATTATCTTATCGAGTTCAAAATTATCACCCCTAACTCTAATCTTGGTTCTTCTCTTGTGAGGAAAACTTGGTCATGACCGTACTCAACTTTTAATGACTAAAAAAAAGTACAATATTATAAAAATATAAATCTTTCTATGGTATAATTAATGAATTGCATATAAATATGTTTTAATGATTTATACATATTTAAAAACAAAGGTGATGTTGATGTTTGTATCCATTTAAAAATAAATTGAATAGTAATATAAGATAAGAAAAATTATATATAGAATAACTGAAAGTATTTTTACTCGTACACTCTGTCAGTGAAAAAAATATATATACACCTTTATACAAGTAACAGCTTACAGCAGAGATGTGTACTTCTATTATAGTCCAGAATACTCTTCTTGATTGGCGATTATGTACATAAAGTCAAAAAAGTATGTGAAATCTTACTAATGAAATTTTTTCCTAATTATAACACAACATAACAACAACTCTCTTTTATTATTATTTCTATTAATTTGTACAGAACTGATCAGATGTCAGTGTTGAGCCACATGGCAAAAGGAAAACTTATTCAAAAGGTTACCCTCCCTGGTAGTGGTAACTGGTAAGACTGCAGTAGTTGAACTTGAATGCACAGAGAGTCATGGTTGTGAATTGTGATCTGAAAGGTCCATTGTGGGTGCAACAGGGTCCCGCGTTTTGCATGCTGTTGCCTTTTTTGAGTAGGACAAAGTGGTCACTCAAGGAAAAGACTATGAGCAGTAATAGGCAGATAACAACTCCCATACAAAATATCCTTTTCTCAAACAGACAGATTTTCCCACACAAGAATCACTTGCATATATCTTCCCATTATAGATCTTACAGGAGAGATTGTACAATGATTTTTCTCTCTACTTGCAGAAGCATCCTTTACCTATGTGATTTGTGCACCTTTTTCTAAAGTTTGAAGCAATTAACATCATTTTTAACTTGCATTGATTTAACATATGTGAGTGTATGGGCAGCCATTATAACTCTTTTAGAACAAAAGAATACTTCCACTGCTGCCCATACTCTCAAGTCCCAACACCTGAACATTCAAGGCACCATGAACATAGGGCAGTTATGCTTTTTCTCATCATAGAAAAAGTAGTTGTGAGGTGGGGTAGGTGGCTAATGGTCATGTTGTCATGCTAATTCATGAAGACGAGATCACCTTACTTCAATTGATCAATTCCTAATTGTAAAGGATTAATTAGCCTTTGAAGAAGAAAACAGACATGACAAATTATTTCCTTATGCTCTCGTATTATATAGTTTTAGAAAACGAGTTTTCTATTTTCAATCCTGAAATAAATATAAATTTTCTTGGAACTAACATGGAAATATGCCAAGTGACAACCACAAAAGGCCCATCCATAGTATACCAGACAAATATCTTTCAGAGCAGTACAGCAGACTCACAAAAGCCTAGTAATTTTGCAATGTTTAATCTAAAACGAGTTTTTCCTCACCTCTTTATCTTATTTCCTAGATGGTTCCCCTATTCTTAATAAAAAAAAAAAACACTCGCTAACAAGATAGCAATACCACCTACTTTCATTTCCATCCAAATCCACTTCGGGTGTGCACATCATTCCATTATTAATAATAATAAAAATAATAACAAGAGGTGCAAGTGGAAATTGCATTATTATTATAGAATAACCAAAGTGGTCTGCTGAGTACAATTCATAAGCAAGAGAAGCCTACAAAAACAAGGACTTGATTTAAAAGGAAAATAAAAAAAAAAAAAAAAAAAAAAAAAAAAAGCAACCCAAAACTTAGGTTGTTGTGGCAGGTCAATTGAATGCCCTGCAACGACCAAAGCCCTTGAATATGAGACCCCTAGCCTTAAAATTGAACTACATAGCCACACTGACAAGACATAAGGAAAACAAGATAGACCCTCATCCAGACTTCAAGCGTGGTAAGACGCTTGATTGGTAAAAACTAAAGTGACAAAAAACTTAAAAAAGAAATGAACTAAAGCTTAAGTCTGTACAACATCATAGCAATGTGCGACAGAAGCTAAAACACTCAGTGTAGAACATCCAGCGGTACAAAATATGGCCTAACATAAGCAATGCACTATCTAGCAGTGGAAACCAACAACCAAGACTCAGTAACTGTATTCTCAGGGAACCTTAGCCATAAAAGATGTGGCCTCCAGTTAGGCAAGGCCAAAAGGGTTGTAACAAGCATTCCTTTGTGAAGAATGCTTGCAAAAAAGGGGGTTATGAAGGAACATGCCAAAGTTCCCTGGAAAACAACCAAGTCAACAAACTTCCACCAATCCACCTTTGATAGGGCATATCAGCCCAAAAAGTACGCTGAAGATCTCACCACCTATTGAGTTCATTATTATAGCTCGATACATGTACTGTATATCCTGAATTCCCAGATCCAGTTCCATATGTTCAATTTTACCTCCTTCCCTGATTTATCAGTTTTATCTGCTTCTATCATAATTAAGCTAGAATATCACATCTCCACAAGTTCTCCAATAGCAACTCAATTGTGCTGCTGCCAATTGAATTGCAGTTTTGAAGATTCAATCCCAACAAGGTCTGGCCTAATTTTTTCAGGAAAGGCACACTCTTGTTTGATACATCAGAACAGCCAGACAAGGAAAGAACTTGCAAACTAAGCTGAGTAGCACCAGAGAGAACAGCTACACCGGCATCAGTGATTGCACACTTTGACACATCTAGATCATTCAGCAGTAGGCAGTTGTCTGCAATTGCAACCAAGCTTGCATCTGTAATTTTCCAGCATCCATCAAGATTTAGTAATTCAAGGGTTCCACCATGTAGCCTGGCCAAGGATGAAACTGCATTATCTGTAAGGTTCCAGCAACCAGTAAGGTTCACCTTAACAAGTCCAGCCTCACAATTCTCCAAAAGTGGGAGAAGACCAGCATCTGTTATGCCATAAAGTCCAGTCAGATCAACATGCTGAAGTTGGGGACACAATTTCCCAATCATAGCCAGGCTAGCACTACCAAAACCAGGGCAGTTTTGAATGGCTAAAGATCGAAGAGACTCGCAAGGAGAAAGCATAGATACTTCCACATCAATATCTTTAACTCCCATGCACTTCACAAGGGTAAGAGATTTCAACTTTGTTTTGATGTTTGAAAGGGCACCAATAATCCCAGACTGGGTGACCCTGTTACACTCCTCCAAATGCAAGCTCTCAAGAGACACTGCAGCTTTGGCAAATGCTACCAATCCACTGTCAGATACAAAGCAACACTTGCGAAGGCACATCTGCTTCAGGTTGTTGCAACCTTTACCCATGGCTTCGATGCTTGCATCAGTTACCCCTCGGCAGGAAGTAATAGTAAATGACACTATTTTCTGCAGACCTTGAGCAACACCCATGACCCAAAACCCCCTTTCACTGACATTTTGGAGACCACAGAGGACCAGATTTGTTATTGCCTTTCCATAATGACCAATAACAGCCAAAGAGAAATCTGTAATGTTTAAGGCCTGAAGCTTTACCCTTGACAAGTTGGAAGCTGATGATAACAGACTAGATACTCCATGATCCCCAACAAGAGGGCAATCCTTGATAGAGATTGACTGTAACTTGGGGCAAGATCTTGCAATAGCTTGCAAGCCCTCGTTTCCAATCTTTGAGCATGATTCAATATTTAAGGTGGTCAAGCTGGGGCATCCTTCAGCTATTGCAATCAAACCCTTGTTGCTGATAGAGGAAGACAGACATAGATCAAGCTTCTCCAACATATGACATCCTTTTGCTATCTCAGACAGACCCTCGTCTCCAATGGACGATACGTTCCACAAAGAAAGTGACCTGAGAGAAGGGCAACCATGAGATACTGCAGAGAGGCCAAGGTTTGTGACACCACGTACAGAATTGCTTCCTCTGATAGACAGCTTCCCCAGTCCCCCACGGCCACTAGTCCCAACTGCAATTGCAGCAAGCCTTACATCAGTGGCTTTCTTCCCTTCCAAACACCTAGTAAGGTAGCCATCACCTTCAATATCTTGATTCTCATCTGAAGAGACCATTTCAACATCAGAGGAAGTAGTCCTCTCAATTTCAGCTCTGCAGATACTGCTCATAAGCATAAGCCACCGTTTAGATACACAGGCACATGAGCTTCTCTCTTTGCCACTAGGGAGCCGCCTGAATATCTCAAAGAGGCATTCATCCGGAAGGACCTCGATACCAGGCTTTTGATATTGCTCTCTCTCAAGAGCTTCAAAGATAAATGGGACACTGATGCGAGCTCGCTTGGTAGGAGGGTAGTACACATCCACATTGGAACCAATAGTGTACAAGCGACCCAAATCCATGGGATTTGGACAAAAAGAACCCCCAGGATACAGTTCATCATCGCCTGAAAATTCCATTCACAAAATCTAAAATCAGACACATAAAATTGTTCCAAATTAACATGATAGGGTATCCCAGAACCAAAACTCAATACTTATATCATATCACAACATACAAGATTTAAGCTTTCAGCAGAATATGACTTGCTCATGTATGTATCTTCATTTCACCACAGAAAATAAATTATTAAAAAAAAAAAATCTGTTATAGGCAATAAACACATTACTATTAGTAATAGATCCAAAATGTGTCATTAAGGATTCTGATTGCAAGAAGCAGCTCAAAGAAAGCGGTTTCTAAGCATACCACACAACAATATCAATAAAAAAGCTCTGTTTTTTTTTTTTTTTTTTTTTTTATCAAATCACAAACTTCAAAACCTATAAATTCAATCAGTACAATCACACCAAGAGAGCAATGAAGAATGCATCACAAACCAAGAGTAAAGCATTGAAGCCATATAAAATTGAAGTCAAACCCAGGAAGCATACCACTGTAATTGACAAGGGTAGGCATGAGCACAGCAAGTTAGTCCACAACCAAGAGAATCCGAGTAGCAGCAGCAGCAGAAACCCCTTCTTAGGATCACAAAGGGAAAACAGAAGCGCAACAAGAAGAAGAATAAAAAGAGTCAGAAGGTTCAAGCGCATTTGAGAAGTGAAACCCCACAGAGCAGGGCAAAAAAAAAGAAAGAAAGGAAGAAGCTTTGGAAAGGATGAAAGGTGGGTAAAGGGTTGGGGGGAATGTATGTTTATATGTGTCGTGAAGAAAGTGTTATATTGGAAAAGGGAAGAAATATAGGTGTCGTCCGCAGACAAAACCACACTACAGATGCATTGTTACTGCACATTTCTGAATGCATTGAATCCTTCCTCAAAACCGGGTTTTCCCAATACAATACAACACAACACAACACAACACAACACAACTCTCTCTCTCTCTCTCTTAGACCAACCAAAACCAAAACCAAAACCAAAAACCAAACCAACCACCTCAGCATCTGTCATACCATTTCCCACGAAACCAATACCAGGAACCATTTCTCATTCTCTCTCTTCTTTTTTCTATTTTTATTTTTTTCATTAAATTAAATTGTTATCTATCCTTTTTAACATTTTTGTTAGGTACCTGAAACCAACCGATACATCAATATTGAACAAAGATACCACGGACAGTACATTACTACGGTTATGTGGAAAAAGTATAAAGTGATCCAGAACCAAGTAGCACCCAAATTCCTTTCGGTTATTAGTCATGTTCTAAGCAGTAAAAATAATTTGCACAATATTATAAAAATTATTATAAAATTTAGAATAAATATCCTTTTTGGTCCTCAGCAAATTTTACGATGTCCGTTTTAGTCCCTAACAAATAAAAAGACATATCGTGGTCTTTAAAAAATTTAAAATGGACTCATTTAGTTGAAATTGTGGTCACTTACAAATTTAAAAAAGACTCATATTAGTTCCTAAAGTGTACATCGTAAAATTTACTGAGGACCAACAGTATATTTACTCTAAAATTTATTATATTTATCTCTTTCAATAAATATTAAATAGGTGAGACTATATAGAGAGAGAAATTTCATATATATGATAACATAATATGAAATTTTAACAAGATATATACATATTCCGTTTAATAAATATTTAGTATTTACTGGCCGCAGCTGTCATCTTGGTTTATTTTCCATGCTTCCTTTAGGTGAAAGCTAAGCATCTACAATATGGTATTCCAACACCATTACAGACACTTGTTTTGTTTAAGGGCAATGTTTTTCTCCTTCCATAAGAGACAAAAATTACTTCCTGTAGACACTTCGATAGCAGTGTTAATTTTTCTTTTCTTTTTTCCAATAAATTGTCTCTAATAAAATTATTATCTTACGTAACATAAAATTATTATTTCCCTTTGTTTAATGTAAATATACGTCAATGCAGTGGATTCAACTTTTCACTGAAAATGTCAAGGTAAAATGGAAAAAAATGTAAGTATTATTTTTATTAGGTAAATTTATAATCTCTTATAATTATTTTTATTATTGTTGAAATAAAATTAAATCAACCGATATAAAATAATTTAGTAAGAATTAATTACGAAATGCTTACCTCAATTTAAATGACAACATTATGTATGCTTTATAAAATTGCCAATGATTTTATATATTTAAAAATTGGAGTGCAGGGCTTCAGGTTTAAATTTTGTAACCGAGTTTTTTCTTCTTCTTTTTTATATTGCAATAAGCGGGAAATTTATAAATAGTTTGACATTTTTCGTTATGTAAATACTGTCTACTAATGAAAAAAGAAATAAATGTTTTCGATGAACAATGTATTTTCGAAATAGTATTGGCATTTCAATCTTCTTAGACGAAAATCTATTCACAATCTCTTTGATTAGTTAAGAAAAAATCAATAATTCTATAAAGTTTTTCTAGTAATAAAAGTATATGTATCATTATGATGTGTGACTTTGTCATTTTTTATAATATTACATTTCTATATTACTGCACTTATTTATCGACATGTGAAAATATAAAAAAATTCAAACAATTATAATAATATTTTAATTATGTTAAATGAGGCAATTATGTTGATTACGTTCAATGAGTTAACTACACTAACATTAGCCAATGCTTCATATTTAAATTCGGATATTTTGGTTAACTTACCATTGAATATATAAAGAAAATATTAAATTTTGAGTTTTGTTTCAATGTAATATTAAAAAAAACCTTTTACACCTAATTATGTGTCCACGTCCCATTTAAAAATTTTAATTAAATAAAAATATACATAAGCTGTTAATCTTATTAAATAATTTGGTAATACATCATTGATGAAAATATAAAACATTTTTTTTATATAGTGGATCAAAATTAAATTCTTAAAATTTGTTATGATAAAACTTCTTCTATATAGATACAATAATAAGGATTCGCAAAAAAAAAAAAAAAAAAAAATGGGGATAAAAAAAAGAAAAGAAAAACGCGCTGTATGATTGTAAATGGTAGCTAGAAACTTCAAAGAAAACCGTACAAAACGACATGCGCAAGTGCAAGTGCAAGTGCATCAATTTGAGTTGGATTAAATGTATATAGCCGTGTAACCAAAAAAGTGAATGGAAACGTTGCGCTGATGCCTCGTGTTTTTTGACTAGATATTTTTTGACTAATATTTTGGTATTTAACCGTTTGTCTCCGTCAATGTTGTATTGACATTTAAAAAAAATTAAAATATCATATTTGATATTTTTTGATATTCTGATTATCTGACACACTCCAATATTTATAATATTTAAAATTTTATTAATATTATGAATATGAAAAATTAATCAATATTTTATCAAACTAATATAATAAAAAAAAACCCGAATAAATTTCAGTGTATAAGAAAATTTTAATTTGAAAATATAATAGTAAATATTTATTTTATTTTATTTTGCTAAATTGATGAGTATTATAAGTTTAGTTTCATTTATTTTGTTAAAGTATTGAATACTAAATATATTATACACTACATAAATTTAAATATTATTTAATATCAAAACGTCGAAATCTAACATTTTTTAGAATTAACATATCAGAGTATTGTGTCGTATTGGTATCGGTGTAACATAAGTTTCCATTAATTAAACTTGTGTTAAACAAGGATTAAAAAAAAGTGTTATTATGTTTTTCTAGACAATTTAATTATTTTTTGGTGTTTTTTATTTTTAAATTAATTTCACTTGTAATTAAATGATTGTACATTTTTGGTAAATTTCTCTGTCTTTTGTTCAGATAACCTTTTCTTATTAAAATAAAAAAATAAAAATAATGTAAAGCTAATCGTTGTGTTTGGGTTTGCTCATCGATCGTAGTTTAGTAAGTGAGCTGGGAACATTTTATAAACAAGGTTAATGAATCTTCTTGGGGGAGGCCCTTTTCTTTTCAATTAAAAAAAAGGTCCAAGGTATTTGATATTAGTTGTGCATGTCTTATCTGAAATAACTGGTGAAATTTCGGGCACATAACATAAGTATTATATGTCTCTCTTGATAGTTTTCAGATGCTAACCTTCGAATTAATGCTTCATCTTAAGTTAATATCTTAGTAATTTTCAGGTTAGATGGGAAACACATACTTCACTATTGATATGAACATTTTACTGTTGTACTCGCGTATAGTTGAAAATGTACAATTTTTGGGTCTCTCTCTCTCTCTATTTTTTTAGTGTATATGTTAAGGGCGTCGTTGCAGTGGCTTTGTATCAATTCAGGCTAAGTTATTATTCGGGCAATTTTAAAGGTATCTATCAGTGTTATGTATTTAAAAAATTTAATTTAATTAGATATTCTAAGATTTGAACCTGTGTAGTTAAAATAAAACGAGCAGATTCTACCAACAAAACCTGACACAATTGTTAAATAGTTGGGTCCTTAAAGCATGCTGACAAAGATTTGATTCTTGACCGTGTGTATATAAAAAGTTTTATTGATAGATATTATACCCACAATTACATGATTTCTCCGTCTCAAAAAAATTAATCTTCGATTTTTGATTGGAGGATACCTTGAAACAATTTCTAAAAAGAAAAAGAAAGAGCATGGTATTCGTCCCCATGCCAAGTTATAATCATTTGTCAAGCAAAATTAGTTTAATTGATGATCTGTGTAAATGGACTCTTTAATCCTAAAACATTAGTTAATAATTAACTCGGAAAACACGTGGCTTCAGCAAAACCATAATCCTTCGTTCCCATCTATCTTTTAAATAAACGACTACATACATTTTTTTTTGGTAAACAACGACTATATACATTTAATCAAACTTAGAGCATGTTTAACACAGTTTTTTAGCTAAAGCTAAAAATGAAAGTAAAAATTATTTGTGAATATATAAAAAAGTTACTTTAAAGATCAAACTAAATATAAATTGTTTGATAAAATAATTTTTATGTTTTATTTCTAATTAAAATTATCATAAAAGTATTAAAAATCTCTATTATTTAGATAAACATAAATAAAAAAATAAAAGATAAAGATTTTAAAGAAAAAAAAATATCCATAATTTATTCAATTTTCCTGATGACGTTCCGAGGAGAAGAATATGGAATCATTTGTCGTTAGGAATAGGCAATTCTTGTAGGGTTTTTTTTTTTTTTTTTTTTTACCAAGTGGGTTGAGGTAATCAACCATGTCTTCATTTAAAATTAGCCCTTGATCATCCACCCAAAAAAGAAAGAAAAAAAAGCTCACTAGGGTAAAGTATATGTAAACAAATTATTTCTTGTAGTTATTTGAAAGGGGTTAATTTTTCTGTAATTGAGGCAGAGAAAATTCTCTCCGTCACTTTCACTAAAAAACAGTGGATTCATAAAAAAAAAAGAATAGATTCCCCTGCAACAGAGTTTGTTTCATAAACTATATTATATATTACCGGTAGTACATAGTATATGACAGACAAAAAATTCTGTATTTTTTGAAATTATTTGTATGCAATAAAGTCAGCCATTTAGACTTTTTTTTTTCTCTTTTTGAACAAAGCCAGCAATTTAGACTTAGAA